CTCAAGAGCAGCAGTTTATAATTATTGAGAACTAAATGAAGACTCTGGTGTCAGTTGAGGTTACATAAACTGAATAAAGCAGTGACCAACTAACATACAAGAAATCTTTTCAATCAACTGTAGGACTTCTTATGGCTCAGCAGTATCTTTGTAATCGTTAGGTTTGGATGAATATCCAAAATGCATCTAAGGAGAACTGTGGAGATAACCAAATGGCTGTGGAAGTAGCATTTATGGGGAGCAGGAAACGAGTGACATAGTATGTAGTTATTTATGTCCTGGTTCTGTAAGCAGATACATATATAGTGATGTTGGTTTCCCAGTTTGAAACTACTAGATCAAAATGCTGGAGGCCAGATCAGCATCTGGAATACTAATTCTTTCAGATATGCTTTATGTGGTTAGAAGGAAAGAGCGTCCAGTAGCTTCGAAAAAAAAAGAGTGTCCAGTAGCTTCGACACATATGTAAATAAAACTGTATGTCTAGGTAAAAACTGCAGACCAGAACACTCTTGAGGGCTTTGCCTACATAGTAATTTCATTTCAGAGGAAAAAAGGATGATATGAAGTACTGACAAACCATTTGTGGTGATAGCAGCAGGTCTGCTTTCTGTGAGCCAGAATGAAGGTCTAAGGCTAGATATAGCAGGCTTCAAAGGATATATATAAACTAATGGGGTTTTTTTTTGTGTTTGGAATACGTAGTTTAGATAAATGATGCAACTGTAATGAATGTAATACAGGGAAAACATTGTGGGACATTTTTATTTAGTGTTTTTATGGTGTTATTTTTTTGTTACATGGACCTTTTCTTACTGGTATTTTGTTTTTTTACGTTTACTCTTTTACTCGAAGGTGGCAACTATGGAGGAGGTCCTGGCTATGGCAGCAGAGGAGGGTATGGTGGTGGTGGAGGACCAGGATATGGAAACCCAGGTGGTGGATATGGAGGTGGAGGAGGAGGATATGATGGCTACAATGAAGGAGGAAATTTTGGTGGTGGTAAGATGCCAGCTTTAAGTAGACATTATTTTTTCAGGGAGGTCTGTGGTTACAATGCCTGAAGTATGGTACTGCATGAATAAGTTGTGCAGTTAGGTCTTACTGTAGAATGCTGTGTTACGTAAGGAAGTTTGTTTTCCATCTGGATCAGCTTTGATACACCACACAGCATTGTTCTGCTTGGAACTTTTCAAAAAGCAGCAGGTATTAATCTATGTGTGAGGGTAGAGTACAAGTATTTTGAAGCTTTTGACCCTTTAAAGTATGCTGCTGCTGTCTGATACCAGATTGTATTATGCAGATCACATCCTCCTTTGTGAGGACTAGAAAGATAAGTTTATATAAGCTTTATAACTGGGGAGTTAAGCTGCAAAATCTGCTGCATATTTTATTATACTCTGATGTGAATGTGCAGCATGTTTGTTACAATTCTATCACTTTTTGGAACAAATAGATTGTATGTAATTTACAGTTCTCATACACGCAGACCATTAGGGTAGTGGAAGAATGATGGTGAAAATCAGGTCCTTTCCTGAGTTTGGAAACCTGAAATTTCGCCTAGTGTGGTAATTTCAAATGACCTACTCAAATCTGTATATATATTCTAATGTTGTGGGATTTTTTTTCTATGAAATACCAGTTTCTTCAAAATGCTAAGGGTCATCTGTCATTTGTGCATTGTGAGTAGAGGTAGCATGCAAAATGCTTCAATTCTATTTTAAATTGTTTTGAACTGTTACGTTTACATTGGCTATCATAATTTAGCGAGCTTCATGTTCTAAGTATTGAAGAAAAATGGCTTTATAAATCTGTTTCAGGTAATTATGGTGGAAGTGGAAACTACAATGATTTTGGCAATTACAGTGGACAACAGCAGTCCAACTATGGTCCCATGAAAGGTGGTGGCAGCTTTGGTGGCAGAAGTTCAGGCAGTCCCTATGGTGGTAAATACGGTTTTGTACAGAAAATATGCTTTTGTTTAAAATATCTTGTTCTTTTTATTTTTCAACACACACCCTGCTTTTTGTAGGTGGTTATGGATCTGGAAGTGGAAGTGGGGGCTATGGTGGTAGAAGATTCTAAAAATGCTACCAGAAAAAGGGTAGGTGTAATGCATATTTTTAATGATGATTAATGATGTACTACTGTTCACTGAGAGTAATAATTTTCTTATCCTGTATTCAACAGGCTACAGTTCTTAGCAGGAGAGAGAGCGAGGAGTTGTCAGGAAAGCTGCAGGTTACTTTGAGACAGTCGTCCCAAATGCATTAGAGGAACTGTAAAATCTGCCACAGAAGGAACGATGATCCATAGTCAGAAAAGTTACTGCAGCTTAAACAGGAAACCCTTCTTGTTCAGGACTGTCATAGCCACAGTTTGCAAAAAGTGCAGCTATTGATTAATGCAATGTAGTGTCGATTAGTTGTACATTCCTGAGGTCTTTATCTGTTGTAGCTTTGTCTTTCTTTTTTCTTTTTATTTCCCATTACATTAGGTATATTGCCCTGTAAATTGTGGTAGTGGTACCAGGAATAAACAAATTAAGGAATTTTTAACTTTTCAATATTTGTGTAGTTCAGTTTTTCCACATTTAGTACAGAGAACTCTATAACAAATAAATGTAGTTTAGGGTGTTTCCTTGTTAGTTAATAGAGAGAATTAATGCATTTCTCAATTACTATTTTGTATTAATTTAAAGTTAACAATAGAAACACCTATTGATTTGCAGTCTTAAGGGGTCTAGTCTCAGTGTATATATGTAACTGTCATTGACATGAGTTACATAGGCATACAGAGGGAAAACATCTGTATGTTGCATTATAGTTTGTTTAGATGTATAACCAGGATTGAGTTACTCAAATTAGTGTTTGTGAATTATAGAACTAAGCTTTACCTTAATGAAAATTTTAAATTACTTTTTGGTTTGTGCATATTTTTTTAATTTGTAGTTCTGTATTAGTACTAGCGCTTCAAGAAAATAAGGCATGATAAATACTTTAACAAGACCAACTTCAGACACATTAAAGCTGTCTCCCGTCTCATTTGAGATGTATAAGGGATAAATGCAGTTGCTTAAGTCTTGGGTGAAGAGAAAAAGAAACTTGCTTTTTACCTTTATATTTATTGTAATTCCCGAGAAGTTAAGGTGGGGGGAATCAAGTGCCTGTTTCCTTGGGATATACAATGATTCTGTTTCAATAAAACTATACTTTGGGGAGGGTGGCTTGGAATTTTCATCCCCTTCCTTTGTCCCCGTTTCCCTCTCCCTCACACCAGACTGCGCTGTTTCAATGAAATGAGGCGTCATAGTGAGAGTAATAGGTATGTTCCTCAATAACTTAATGGCTATATACTTTCTTGCATGCACCCTAGGCAATTTTCTGGACACATTCTTCTGACTGGGAGCCAAGGGTAGCACAGGTGTAATCACTGGCAGTCCCAGGTAATGCGTTCCAAAAGCCCGTTCATGATGGGCTCTAAGTAGTATAGTATTCAAGCTTTTTCCCGTGCAAATGTCTGCGCTCAGCTAAAAGCTCGATGAATCAAGAAACACCATCTAGTTGTATTTGACTGACTAGAAACACTTCCCACGATGTAGAATGGTACAGTGTTGGGTTTCCACAGGTAGAATGATAGTGTGTTACAATTTGATTTTATGCACTGGAGTAGCAAATCTTATCAGCACATGTGGCTAGAAATTGTACTTCATTCTCACTTCTGACCTCCAAATTCAGGCACTACAGGCTGTCCTTTTCTCAGCTGATGTGAATTCTGTCTCGACTGTTGCCAGGACAGTGCTTTCTGTCAATTCAGACTCAGAAGAGTAGGGACCCAGTGAATAGAAGAACTATTCAGACACTTGACAATATGGTATTTGAATTATTCACACCTGTTTCACTTCTGGGTCAATGTGCAGTATAAGGTAAATGCGATTCCAGTGTAGGAATGAATCTGCAAAGGTGTATGAAATGGCTCAAGGCATAATCAGTCTTATTAATAATGAATTATAATTTTAAGAAGTAGTAGAAAAATGAGTGTGTTGTTTGAAAAAAAAATTAAACAATGTTATTTAAACACTGTTATTGGAGTGTATTTAGACTGCAGTACACTAAAACAAGGAACCGGTGTCAAGATGGTAGCCTCCAAACTGGATTTTAAAGTCTGTTTATTCTTTCTGTGGAGTTTAAAAATATCTAAGGTTCAACAATTGGTGATACAGTGAACGCTTCTATTGTTGTACATACTAATTTGGGCTTGGGGTGGTGGGGAGGTTGTATTTCAATAAAGGCATTTTTTAAACAACCCATTCGGAGTTTGAAAACATTGAAAACTAAACCACAACTCACTAGGGAGTGAGCCACCTAACTACTGACTTGCTTTGTACATTACTACGCTTAGAAGATGTGTAGACTTGTACCTGGGGCCTGCATCTGATTGCAGGGACAACTGGAGGATGGGGTTGATGTCCCTTCTGACAATTGATCTGGTATTTCTAAATTTTTTTAGAATGTATTGACAGTGTTCTTTTTAACAGGGCCTCTTGTAGCTGTACTGTGACAACAATGTTAACTTTGAAAAATAGTGTCATAATAAACTTTATGAACAAGATCTGTATGCAACCTTTAAGAGATGGATGTAAAACACCGTTTTGTAGGTGGGTGGGGTAGCTTAGATGTTGTTTGTGATGTGGAAAAGTGTAATAAGCCGTGAGGACAGTGATTAACCAGCTTTAAAGAACCTAGGATGTACTTCTTTGATCCATACTTTGCTAAGGAGACTCGTAAGACAGGACTTCAGCAGCCTATTGAGTATGGAGAAGTCAGCATAATTACAGAATGACAAGGCAGCAGGAGCAACAGCTTCAACTTCCAGAAAAGTGAAGGCATAAGATACTGTGCTGATAGTGAGCAGCTTTCCAAAGGCTAGTTAAATCTGCTTATCACAGCTGAAATATCGAAGAAAGTCTAGCAAGAGTTCTTCACCTTTGGAACCTCCTTGAGTGATAGCTACTTGAGTTGACTCAAAATCAATAGGTCTAGCATTTAGACCTGAAAGGAAGGGCAATGAGCATAGGTAAGGTTTGCCTTTAAAATTTTTCATGAATTAAAAGAGTAGCGGGGGGCTTTTAAACAAGGTAAGAGTAATTTCTTTAATTTTCAGGTTGAATGAGAAGCTGCTGCTTGGCAAAATGGGGAATGTCTTGCACATCCTCTTCAATTGAAGGTTTCTGACTGGGTAAGATTTGTAGTCTGTAGTAAAACACTTCTTTAACCCTTGTTTCCTTCTAGGCTTTCCTTTGCTAGCCTTTTAATACCAAGGAAAGCCTTAAATATTAAGAAGCAGGTATTCCAGTATATGTCATCCAGTGTTTCCCATTCTGGATGGGGGTTGCTTGCTAGCATAATTGCTATTCAAGGATCTTCCAGGTACAAAATTGCTGTGTGTCTGATCAATAAGACAGAAATGATAAATGTATTGAAATGTGTGCTCTAGTTACCACTGGGAGTGCTCTGGGAGAGGGTGGGGTTTGGAGAAATTGTTGGTTACCTTGTAATTGAAAGCAGTTCCTTCAAGAAACCCAGAATGGTGAAGGAACTGGAGCAGTTCCTTTCAGTTCTCAGTACTGTGTGATCTGCTGCTGCTGCAGTCATTCTGCAAAGGCACTTTGCATTGGTTAGAACTGTGATTTTCCTCCTAATGCATTTGGTTTACCAGATGGGTTTGTTTTTATCTGTGCAAATCAGAGAGTTCCCATTCACATTTTTGGTGCTTTCAGGCAGGGTAGTTTAGTGGAGGCCAATACTGCCTGTCTTTTGATACCCATCTGAAAGCACAACTGCATTTATACAGATGAGGGGCAGTAAAAACTATGGAATCTGCTTTTATGCACATTAGTTCTTAACTCTTGGAACATGTGTTTCCTTTTATGCATTTTTGATTGTTAGAGGTCTGGGATATTTTTAACTCCTTTTATAGAATACTACCTATTTACGTTTACCAATACATTTTTGAATCTGGGTATTATTTTGGGTAAGTCAGTTTCTATTTTAATATTGGTTATCTTCAGTTACTCAGAAAATAAAGTCAAATGGAACCATTGTGTTTCAGTTTAACTTGGGTCTTAGGCTTGTTCACAGACTGAATCTCAGGTATTTAAACCTGTTACCTGCTGTCTATATACATCCATAAAGCAAACTCTTGGCATTGGGAGGTACAATTAAAAGTTAACTCAGAAGTAATTTACAATGGTAATGATGAAATTCTAATAAAATAGGGAGCTATTTACTAGAAGTCTCACAAAGAATATATACAGCTTGCTGCTGAGATGGCAAGCTTGCTTTCTTAAACCCAGAGGTGGAAGATCTTTGCTTTCCCTCTGCTGGGCAGAGTTGCTCTTGTGAGCTCCTGTAGGCATCTGTATAACAACAGGTATAAGGGAAAAGTATTAGTGTGCCTTAAAACTACTTGGCTGAGGGCAAATGCTTTTGTATCTAATGGGGAGGCAGAATGTTACAATTATTTAACAGTAAAATGTTTTAATGAAATAAGTTTTAACAACTTTCTAGTTTGCTTTCTATTACTAGACCTGCATATAACTCAAAACTACCTTTCCTTACTGTTAGAGGATTCTACATTAGTGCTGACTTACTCTGTGCTCTGGAAGGCTCCTTTTGCACCACATACAGAACTAGATATTAACAATTATTTTCACACTTGGCTTTATAGAACTTGGACTAATTTACTTAATTTCAATTACTCATACCACCATTTGTTCAGAAGTCAACCTTATGAAAGTTAAACACATCCTTGTTCAAAGTACTTGATCATACATCTTTGTCCCAGAGGCACTTCCAAGAGTTAAGAATATTTCATAGCTAGGTTGTTTCATAGTGGCTACTATTGAAAATAGCAGTTGTAAATACAGATGGAGATGTAAAGATGTGAAGTTTGCACATTGGTCCTGAAGCTGCAGCTCTACAGAAGTTTTTTTTTGATACCTAAATCTGTATGTTAATCTAAAAGCAAATAGTGAAAGTGTATTTCCCCAAAAGGGGCCAAGGTCAGTGCAGATATGAAGCGTGGGGGTTTTTTATTATTATAGAAAGCTAAACACAGCATGTTAACTGATATCCTGTAAATATTTAAGGTGGGAAGGGGAATGCTAGTCTGCCAAGCACTGATTGTGTGATGTGCTGACTTGCTGTCTTTGGTCCCTGTGTTTAAGACGTTTTCATATACTGTCTGCACTTTGGTGGAAAATTCACTTATGTATCAGTCTGTGGTCTCTGACAAGTGTTTTTGTTTTAAATTGTGTGGAGCATGAAAGATCTTGAATATTTACTAAAATTCGAATATCTGATGGATAATTCTTTTTCTGCTGTGGATGCTACAGGTTGACATCTTTAATTCAGGAAAAAGCTAATCTTAGATAAAGTAATCCAAGTATCTCCGTAGAAGAAAAATGGCCTTCAGATAGAAGATAATATCTCAAGATTGGAAACGGAATAATATGGTAAAATAACTGGCAGACTTCAAGAGCAATGGTGCTAGTGTGCTGTAATCTTAGAACTTGTGGTTAAGCAAGTTTAAAAATAGCATGGAAATTAAAAATTTCAGTATAGTCCATAATGGATTAAAATTTGTTAAAATACTTCCATTTTGTATCAGAATAAAGTGTATCTTGTCAAATGACATGAAATCTAAAATGTGTTGCCATCACCTTTTTTTTAGTGCTGTGAGGAACACAAAGCGGTCTTAAATTATTGCAACATGGAGTTATAGGATCATCTTTGCAAATTGGGACTGCAAGTCAGAAAATCTTGGTTTAGCCCAGCTCCTCAGCTTTACTTCTAATAGTTTTCAAACCAAATGTTTTGACAGAGAAATAAATGTTTCCAGGTGGAGACTTCAGTGTATGAGGTCAGCATTGTGATGCATTACATTTGGCAATGTCACTGGTCACTCTTAGGTCTGGGAACATATTCTGTACCTCTTAAATAATAATAATAAAGTGAAGGATATCCTTTGCAATCTTTTGTTTGCACATATACCAAAATAACTGAATGTGGAATGTTTTTGTCCTTGATGGTGCTGCATGTTTCACTGCAAGTACATTAACTGTGTGTGAGATGTAAAAAATACTGGTTTAAACTGAATGAAGTTGTCGTGGCCCAAGTCACTTCAGGCTGATTCTTTTCCTGGTGGAATTCAGTCAAGGCTTTTCTGCATTAACTGGGTTTTTTGGTGTTGGGCTTTTCATCTTGGCAATAGAGCAAAATATCCCTGTATTAAGCTTTGGAAACGAGGGTAGTACAACAGCCCCTGCAAAGGCTCTAAGGAACAAGTAGAGGGCAGGGGTTTGCTGAGGTCTTGGTTTTCTAGCCAGTTTGTAATTAAAAGTCTACTACAGCTAAAGCACATTTTAAGTCAGACATCTGTAGTTACTAGCAGGGGGAATCTGAGAGCTCTCTTTATGTTGTCTGCTTTGCCATCAGACCTACCTTGTGTATCAGAGCTACTCTTATCAGTGTTGAAGGACTTCCTGGGGCTATAGCTTGGTATACTTCCTCTTTCCTCTTTGAAGTTGCCATCCTGAAATGTGGATTAGATCCTCTTGCCTTAAATGGCAGCAGTCTCACATTCCCTTAGCGTGCACTCGGGCTTGGTGATTGCTGGGGGTGTTTTCCTTCCTAGGCAGGGCCGGTGGCAAAGTCAGTAGAGACATATTTGAAAAAATGCAAGACAAAATAGCCTTCACTGCTTCAGTATCTTTGACTTCGCTTAGCCAGAGCTTGGGTGGTCTATCTAAAGCAAATGAGCCTGTTTTGTCCATCAGATCTAGCCTCTATAATTTTCAACCATTGGTATCGACCATTTGCCCCAACAAGAGCATTCTGGCATTCAGGGGGCTTTGCAGGCGGATGGACTGACATGCCAGTACCAAGGAAGAAGGTCAGTATAAACAAGGTAAGCAGCCTCCAAAGTGCAAGCTGAGACACCTGCATTTACATTTCCTATTCTCCTCTGCAAAAATACAAATGTTACTACTTGATGGACTGACAGGGTTCCTAGCACTTGAGGGGTGTCAGAAAGCTGAGATTACAGGTTTTTTTTATTACTTCACTGTATCTTGTGCTCTAGATGGATACAAACATTTTATGGGCAGAACCTCACCTGAAAGTCTGCAGCAAGTAACACAGTATGAGAAATGTTAAACTGTTACTTTTAAGATAGGCAGGGCTGGAGGATTTGATAGTCCCCAGTTCAGGTACCACACACCTTCTGGTGCTGGCATTTGGCCATTACACTTGCCTTTAAAAAGGATATGGTGAATAGGATCATTGGATCCTGGCATTACACTGCCCTGGAGCAAAACTACATTCTCTTTGAAGCAAAAGAGCATCTGAAATCCTGTGCATACAGAAGAAAAACAAAGCTGGTACCTGCATAATGGTAGGCTCCAAACCAGTTAATGCTGTACAGATGGGAGGGATTGTAGTAATCAGAGAGTTGAACAAAAGCAGGACACCTTCCATAGCACCCCTGACAGTAATATTCATCAGAACAATGGCTTTCTGTACTAGTTCCCTAAATCTTGGCATGCTTTTTATTTTATTTTTTGGTGTTTTTGTTTTTTTTTTTTAGGACACTTGAAGAGTCCATAAAAAGTGATGTCATATGGAATTAGGATAATGATTATCTAAAAATTCTTTTGGCTTTCATGGCCAGCCCTAAGATGAGAGGCTTTCTGCTTGATAGGCATCTCCAGCACAGTAAACCAGTTTGGAAAATACAAACCTCAAGGCTGAATTCACCAACACCTTTATCACTTATATTTAACATTATTTGTGAATAATGAGCTAATGGAAGTCAGGCTTCCTAATCTGATGTCCCTCACCAAACCCTCCTACAACATTATTAAATGACCTCTCTGGCTCCTACAGTACCCTTTTAAGTATCTCCAGTTCTTTCTTTAAAAAATATACCATAAGGACTTGCAAAGCAACTTGGGTTTTATTTTACTGAAGAAAAGTTCTGCAGAAGTATTGTAAAACAAAATATTCCTAAAGTGAAAGGCATATTTAATCTGAAATGTATTTTTCTGCTACTGGTGCTCTATTAAAAGTTTTGTAAGGAAGATGATGCAGTTTCTGATGTTCAAATCAATGTGTATTACAAATTATGCATTTTCTATATGCATAAAATCCACAATTATTGAGTACAATTAATCCACTTGAAGAGTAAACAAGCCAGTGCTATTTATTTACCCAATTTTTATTATCTTATAAATCATAATTTAAACTCCACAACATTTTCCAATCGAGTGCAGGTTCCAAATAGTGCAGTTGGTTGGCAGTTTGTGTGCCTTTTTCCCGAAGGTCCAAAGTAATCACAGTGACAAACAATGCTCACTGATTAGAGTCAAAGTGAACAATTACTCAAAAGTGTACAGAATTTTTAGTTGGAAAAATGTGTAATGCTGATGTCTTGATGAACAGATTTTGAATGCCTTTAGAGGAAAGATATCATCATGAATTTAAGTAGTGTTCAAAGAGCAAAACAAAAATTATGTAAACTTAGCATAGACTTGAAACTTAACTTTATGGTGCACAATCCTTCCACATGGCTGTTAAAATTATGCTGAATGAAACATCAGTAATGCTGACAATGCCACGTGATACGTCTCTGGTTATTAAGTATATTTACACACCAGTGAGGATTTCCCTTCTTTAGGGAAGTAAATACATATGAAGTAGAGTTTAAAAAAGTTTAATGAACTGATAAATCAAAATCAAACACTATCAACTTTTATACTAAATTAAAATTATATATTAAATACAAGGCAAGTATAAACATGTAAGAAAAATGGGAAAAACACTTTCATATTTATAAAAAAGTATCAGAAGCCATACTCTGTCTTGCAAGAAATTATATTTAGAAGGCTAAAATCATTTATATATATATATCCAATCTATGAATATAACAAGAGATAGGAACAGTATATAAATATGGTATATTTAAATATTTACATGTATACGAAAACTAGTCAGAGTAGTGCTGTAGGAAGAAAACGTCTGTTATAAAAGTGAGATTACAAATTTTGCATATGTTAGTTACACTATTAGTTTTAAACTTGCATCTTCCATAAGCTAATTATTAACTTCAAAATTATCATTGCATAGAATTATTTGAAAAATATTACCTCATTCTGCATTCCACCTCACAGTAAAACTATCAGGATAATGATAAAAAAATAACTCGGAGAACGGCAGGCAGCTGTGCTGCCCTTCAAAGCTTAGTCTCTGACTTCTTGCTTTTAGGAACAAGAAAAACATTGCCATCTCTAGTTTGCTGCAGTGAATATTCACTAGGAGAGTAAGACTTTCCATCCTCATCACGCAGCATGCTGAAGACATCAAGGTATAAGGTGGTTAGTTGCTTTTTCATTTGACGAAGGCTTTTGTCATGCTCTCCTTTTTCCTTTAGCAATTTCTCTCTCTCATCTTTAAGGTTACTCAAGTCTTGCTTCAGTTCCACTATATTTTCCAGTTTTCTTTTACGGCAATTTTGAGCAGCTACTTTGTTCTTGCCTCTCCTGCGTATATCTCGAATAAGCGCAAGCTGAGCTTCATTGAACTGCTCCTTAGACATCATTTCATTGAAGTCATCAACGGGGAGATTGATGATTTTTTCAACAGGAAAAGGGATCTGCAGAGCTTTTGCTCTTTGCTCATCTCTTGTGAGATGAGCTTCAAGGCGGCTTGAAGGTTTATCTTTTGTGAATGGAGCTTTGGGGTGGCCTGGATGGGCAGGGGGTTCTTTCTTTGGTGTGTTTGTACATTGCAAACTTGGTGTTAGAGCACTTGGCCCTGTGGAAGAAAACACTTGATCCTGGAACTGCAATGAGTACATACTAGCATTGCTCTGTGGCACACTTCCAGGGATACTATCCGTGTCTTCCATTTCCGAATCACTACAACCAAAAGTCTTATCTCCATAGGCAGATGATTCAACAGAGTGTTCAGGTGATGCTACACTAGAACTGGCATTCAATGAAATACCAGAGTCAGAATCATTACATTCTGGTACAGTTCCTGAGTGGCTGCCATTAAAAGCTTTACACAGTGAGAAATCAGAAAGATCAATAGGTTCACTTAGAATTTCCGCAAGTGATTGATTGATACTGTTTGTCGTTGCTGTGTCACCATTCGCCTTGGCATGAATAAAGGTGCTGTAGAAATCCTCACAGAAATCAGAGTTTGAAGGGGACATATCATTTAAAGAGTTCACACTGAGCTGGCTGGTGTCTTCTGGTGGCAAAATGCTGGAAAAGGGGCCCTCAACAGTATCCAGGAAATCTGGACTGCAGTTAACATCCTTTCTCATGATGGGTAATGAGCTGTAGTAATTATAGCTGTTGTGCATCTCTGGTGGCTTGGTTTCAGGGCTTGTCATTGTGCTTACCTCAGCCAGGTTGTCATTTTCAATGTTAAGACACTACATGGAAAATGCAAGGGAGAATTTGAGCAACACATCTCCAATTGATAGAACTTTTTTCTATTGCTCACAAACATTACATATTTTAATAATCAAAATGGGTATTACAACATTGCTGTAACGTAGATGACTACAACACATTGCTACAACGGAGAAGCAACCTAGGAAGAGGACTAGATACCTAAGCAAGAGTATGAAGCAACTTCATACTCTTGGACAAAGCTATTCAGGGTACAACAGCAGAGCCTCTCATACTCAGAGCAAGGTGCTGAAGAGACTCATTCCCATCCTTTATGGAAGGAGCTCAGAGCACTCCTGGTCATCTAAATTGGTAGTGGGCAGCCTAGAGCTGCCAGGTCTGAATTTCTCCCAAGTGGCACTACCATGAATGGCATCAGTATAGTTCATGAAAAATTACAGAATGAGACCTAATGAGCATTGCTAGCAAATATACTTTTAGCAGTCTTTAATTTCATGTTATGTGGTAGATTTCTGTTACTCAAAAACCAAGATTCTTTTAGGATTTACTGAATGAAGCAGCTGTTCAGGGAAGAGAAATGTCATTCCTGGTGGAGTAAAAAGCACTAAGATGAAGCCTCGTGAACAGCAACTCACCCCACATACTTTTAGTTGAGCTGCCTAACACCAGCATGAGCACTGAAGACTTACATTGATGGCCTTTCTATTGGCTACAAGACCAATGTTCTTTCCAACAGGGTGGCAGTTTCTTAACTGAAGCTGAAATAAGTGTGCCTGCTGTCCCCAGAGAACTAGGCAATTACCAAAGTCATTCTGTTTCTCTTAAGAAGGGACCACACACTGATTATTTAACCAGCAACTGCTCAAGACTTAAGCTAAGGCTTTGAATACAAGAGCCCTTTTTTTCTTTTCTTCAAACGTAATTCATAAAAGGTGATGCCCTCAATTTAATTATCTCACTTCTTTCAGAGATTATTCAATTACTATTCAGAATTACTGCAATAGATAGTTTTGGTTTGGGTTCTTCATGTATTTTCATCAATTGCCCTTGTTACTTATGTGGTGCTTTTAAGCCTATGTCAGTAATAAAGAATAGGAAACTGGAAACATTTTGAAAAGTATAGAAAGAAGAAGGGAAAAAGTAGAATGACAGGAAAAATGCAGTTCCTGAAAACACTGTGGTTTTTTTTTTTCAAATTATGCTTTGGATTTACAGGCATTCCACTGAGCAATCATTGTGTTAATAGCATCGACTACAGCTGCATCATGCTGAAGTGTGACAAAGTCTACAATAACATCAATTTACTCATTGTTTTATTCAAACCTAGGCAAAATATGAACAGAAACATTAGGATAAGAGGAAAAAACCAACAAACCTAGATGTCCTCTGCAATATCAGAAATTGCATACAAAGGCAAACAATGACTTGCTAAATACGGGCAAGTTCTGATTGGGAAGATGGTCTTTTATTAAGGCCTTCTGAAAAGCAACTAATTTCCTTCCTCTTACGTGTTTTTCAATATTTCTTTTTAAAAATTAAAGCTCATATTGAGTTACAGACATGCTACAGGTGTAGAATCCAACATGACAGTCACCATCTGTTAAGATGCTATTGTACTGCATTCTCTGAAACACCATCTTCTTCCAAAATATCATGCTATTTTTTTCAGGTGTTTATCATACTAGATCTTTACCTGTAACTCTGGAAGGGACAATAATTCTTCCCAAACTTCCTCTATGTTCTGCATATTCTCTGCATCAGTAAGTGGAACAAGAACAGGTGATTCTGGTGGCTGAGTTTCATCAGAGGAAATTAAGACTGGGTTTCTATCAATCTGTGCAGGAACCAGTGACTGAAATGCAGCTGCAGAAGCCTGGAGTGTTTAAAAGATAAATTTTTAAAACCCACAAACAAATTAAAAAAAAAATATCCATTTTTAAAAGCAAAAATCTGTTTTTTGGTGTTCTACCACTGCAGAACAAGCAGGCAGGTATTTCTTAAGAAAAGCATTTTTTGGTAAATACTAGGATAACAAAATTATTCTCATGAAAGGACAGGGGGAAAAACACTATACACTGGCTAGTGAAGGGCTTATCTTTACACATAGAATCATTCTGGTTGGAGGACATTTAAGATCATCAAGTCCAACCATGAATGAATAGTCTGCATGAACAGATGAAAATAAAGCAGCTCAATTGCATTAAATCCAGAGAGCTGCACCAAGTTCACTGACAGACTGACAAAGTCCTCTACTGTTATTTGCAGCAACTGGAATGTTGCAGCCTTCAGCTGGTACTATATGCTGGATCCTGGCTGCAAGATTCAGAAGCAGAAGGAACACAAGAGTGCCACTCTACTCCCTCAGACACAGCTCTAGTTTAAGCCTACTACACTGTTTTATTCCAGCTGGAGTTGGCTTGGGGACAAAACTCAAATCATATCACAAACTAATATAATGGCAAAGACAAATCTAAGTGAGAGAAGACATGAAACTGATCCCCTAGAAACCCACGGTGGAACTGCTGTATTAAACACTTTTACCTCATTGTCATCTATAAACGGGAATGCTTCTGCCAAGAGCTGCATGCAGTCATCAAAGGACAGGGCCTCTGCTTCTGGTTTTGAAGTCTGTGTACTCTAAACAGGAAGGTTATGAAAAATGTTACTGCATCTTTGAATAACTGAAGAATCTTCCATTACAGCAACAAAAGCAAGTTAATTTTAGGTAACCACTACGTCTTGCTGTGAATGGAAAAGGTTTACATACACTCACAAACACACATTAGAATTTACCTCTGAAAAATTGATTGGTGGCTCAGTATTTTCTGACTGACCACGCTGAGCTGGCTGAACTGGAACAAATTCACCTGTCTCTTCGTCTAACTCCAGCTGAGCCAGTAGGGCTTTCTCCTGCTCTTTCTGGAGCTGCTCTTGTCTTTCCTTTTCAAGTTTCTTCTGTTTCTCAAGTTCATACTCCTTCTGTCGTTGACTAAAATCAAAAACTTCACGCCTTACCCCAAGGTCTATATCTTGCTTCCAAAGGATGTCAATCAAGTTCATGTCCTGTAATAGAAATTTTTGTTTAAGCAAGTGTTCTCCCCAGAGAAACTGCTTTAGAACAACAGCAAAGCTTTTACATTCCATCTCAAACAGGTAGATTCATGTAATTGAGGCTTATTTTCTTAATCCTACAAAATTATCTAAACAAAATATGGCTCTATAACACCTTTCTGAAGTGTGTGAACTGATGGTTTAGCTTTTGTGGTGTGCACAAGGGCTCATAGAAACTAAGCGATTTTTTCCAGTTGGTAAGGTGACACATGAAGCAGCCAGAAGATAAATATATTCTTCTTTCCTAAGTTAGCTCACAGAAAACACAAATCTATAGAATGAACTATGTCACATTACAGAAGTCATTTTTAGGAAAAAATACAAAAACCAACAGAGATTGAAAAGTTTGGCCATATGTATGTTTTTTCAGTATGATCTTATAAAACTGTGAAAGCTGACATAAAACATGACAGGGGTTGTCTGAAGTAACTGTAATAGCCATAGATGCAAATTGTATTTTCAAACATTTATGTTCCATCCTGGTATTAAGTATTAATTATAAAGATCAGCAGAACAGGGCATCAGAGTCAGAGGATAATCAGGTTTCAAAGTCACCAAGTGGCATAACATCACTGTAGCACTAAACATAATTATTAAGGCTATTACTAAAAAACTGTACTTTAAAGCTTTGTCTAAGGCAACACACCCAAGTGTGGCTGGTTTGGAGCAGCTGAGTGTAAACTAGAAGGCAACAGGTGTCAAATATTGTTAACTGGTTGGCCTCTGGCTCATCACAGTCAATTATCATCAGACAGCTGACAATGACCAACATTTATTGGAAATCAGCTACCCCTTGCACCAACAGTGTTTCAGAAGTCAAATTAAACTCTGCTATTTAGGGAAAACCACCTGGTTAATATTACCTGATTTGGCTAGAATTTATTTTAATTTATTACATAAGGGTTTTTTTTCAGGGGAAGGAGTCTGTGGATTGTTTTAATTTTTTGCTATTCAAATATTCAATATTTTTAAGGGATGTTTGGACTGTTTTCTTTTGTGAAGAAAATATAACACTAGAAAAATAATCAGTCTGGTTGTTATCTGATACAGAATTTTACCACTTGGTAGTCACATTTGTCAGATGAAAATTCCAACAATTTCTACCTGGTTCTTGGGAGTCCTGATTTTATGGCATGTTTCATTATTCTTAGAACTTGGACTTACTTGAAACTTTGGTGGCAGCACACAGAAACAGTGTTCAGTGTTGGGCATTCCCATCAGGCACACTACATTTAATTTTAACACTACATTTAACACTACATTTAATTTTAACAGAACTTTACTGATTCAGTTAGCAGTTCTACACCCAAGATACATTTATTTTGCCACCGTATCAAATTATAACACTTCCTTATCTCTAAAAACTATTTTCAAGTAGAAAAGCAAAGTAACCTGAATAGCAAGTCATGTTTCTGTTCAAAACAATCACTTCTGTACAACAGTTACGACAAAAAGCATTAGGGCAAGCCCACATTTGAAAAAAACCCAACAATTCAGAATTCTTATTTCTTTGTTAAGAATTCTATATCATTGGTAATTATATTTACACATGGCATGAACTACTTTACCAGTTACTAAAAAAATTACTTGTCTCTAAAATCAGACAGTTACATAAAATATCTGTGTAAAACAATGCAGGCATTTCCAACTTTTAAGACACATTTAATATACCTTGCTAGGAGAGATCAAATTCAGCTTTAATGGCCAGCAATGAGGAAGATGAAATAATTACAGTGGCTGCCCAAGACAACGTTTGGTCTTTCCAGATTGGCAGGGTAAAATGAACTAATTAAGTTCTGCAGTAATTTGAGATACTGCAATATGGTATAGCTTCATTAAGGGACAGTAGTTAACCACCTGCTCACTGTCTCCTGCAGCAGATTCAAAACTGTTTCCTAGTCTCAGAGCATTTGCAATATGTTCTGGATAAAGCTGCAGGATCTGGATTATAGGGCTCAATTCCAAATTATTCATTTTCAAGGCACCATTAAAATGTGACTCAAAATACTTGCGTGTGTGTGTATAATGCACAAGGCTGTGAATTAACAGAGCCGGTTTTCCCCTGGAGTTGCAAGAGATGGGAGCACAAAAATAGCAAAACTGGTGCCCAGTGTCAGTTTAAATCAGGAGAAACAAAACTGGACAAAGAAAACAAGTACAGAAGGCGTTAATATTATTTCCTTATGCAAAAACATGTTGCCTTAGTGCAAAACCCTAGGGCACAGCTATTAAATCTTTCAGCCACACTGCTGGCTATATTCTTTACCAAAATAAGTAGCTTTGGGTGCTACCTCATTTATTGGATGAGACATCTCCACAGACACCAGCCAGACAAAAAAAACCCCACTGCTGTGAATGTGCAGCAATCAGTGCAGCAAGCAGGACTGCTTTTTGAATGAACATGCTTGCATGGTTTTCAGGATCTTGGGCTGTTTGAGAAATATGACAGCATTGATTGGCTCTTATCACCATTTTTCAAGGGACAATGTTTAGCTCAGTATCTTAATGCCTGGCAAAGGGCTGAGCTTTGCTAAACAGTGTTGTGCTGTACCCTGGAGACAGATACTTGTCAGGAGCATCTTTTTTATTTACTTGTGTTTGTGGCACTTAAAATCAAAATGGTGTTGGCTTGGTTATTTTAATTATCACCATATAATTGAAAGAGTCCTCTTTTTTTCAATTTGAAAAGTTCTATATAAATACAGCAATATTGGCCTTAACTTCAAATAACAGTGTAAGTTAACTCTTCACATGAATGGGTTGCATGGAGGTGTTTTTCTGTTGAATAGGCTAATATGTAATTATAATGAAATAGCACACTGATTTAAATATTAACCTGCCATTTAACACATATCTATAATTTCAGCCAATGCTTTTATTAATACTGCCCTTTTCAAGAAAAAAAAAATAAATAATTCTGGCATTAGTTCAAAGCCTCATATCAAAGTTAATGGAGTCAACAATAACCACTAAGAGTCGATAGCAAAGAATTGGAAAAATAAAAAATAAAAAATTGCAGTCAAAAGCAAATATTTTGCAATTTTGTTCCCTCAGCCCCTGCCCAGCCTTCCTCCTCAAATTATTTCTATGCCTTTTTGAACACTGTCACATACATGCACAGAAGCACCACAGACTAAGACAAGCACTATTTCAGGTTTACCACTGAAGCATTTTTTCCCTTTCTACTTTGAAAGCATCACAAAAATTAACTGTGTACTTGATGTCTGTAGTGTTTGAAGCTATCAAAAGGCATTCTGCTTCTTGCCTGTGCAACATCTACACCCTGATTTTCAGATGCCTCAACACAATGTGCTGGTCTTAAGACTCATTTGGAGGGAGAAGCGAGCACAGATTCACATCTGAACGGGCACACATCCACTGAGAGTCCTGTGAAAGATTCCTCGGAGCCAGGGCTCGCTGCTGCCCCTAGCAGCCACGCTAACCACCTCCCCTGACATCACACATTTTCTGTAAAGGTGCCCGCAGTCCCTCATGTGACAGAGTCCACAAGTGCCTGTTTGTTCTTTCCCCCCTTGTGCAATTTCTCAAATTACATCAGAGGAACTCATGGTTTGGGAAGAGCCCAGACACAATGCAGGAAGAGCTAGGCAAAGAGGAAGGGCCTGCACCAGGAAGGGATGGATTTCAGCCCCATGCCTCCCCCATGCTTTGAGCTCAGCTCTTTCCCACTGAATACCAATGCCTATTTTGAGGGGAAATATATTAAGGTATTTAATGTGTGTGCTGCCAGTGCCCAACATGTCTAGCTTCCAGGAAAGTAAGATGGTTTTAATATTTTTCCCAAGCAGACAAACAGTGATTTGATTTTATTTTCTGCATTTTAATATTTTTTAGACAATGGACTGCTCTCAACAGAGAAGGACATGCTTTGCTTTCCCATGATTCATGTAAGCAGGAGGTGCCTTAGTGATATACTCTTCCAACCACATTGATAGCTTAGTTTGGACACATAAAGGCACTTTTAATAAGATAAACATAAATGTTAAACAATTCACATTAAGGCACCATCTGGCCCCCAATGGAAATTTTCATGTTTTAGATTTACATATCAGCATTTGCCATCTGGGCTGAGTCTGTTATACATTTTATGAGGAAACCTCCAACTACATTGTAGAGTTTCACAATTAACTCTTATTGCTCCTCAGGAAACATGTTCGTAGAAGGATAAAGGAAGGCAAGAAACCCTGCTTTCATGTTATTTTCATAGACTGACTTTTGTGCTTTAAATGAAATGCTGATTTTTTGTTTCATCCCTATTTGGTTTATCTGACTGGTTTAAATTTTGGCTGGAATATAAACCATTTACAGGTAGCACTGGGAAAGTAGAAACATGCAGTGGCTCAAGTGTCAGCAGAGAAGCAATCTCAGAAAGTGTTCTCAGACAGCACTTCAACCTGTTTTTAGCCATACCCTTAATACAGAGCATGCCTGTGGGTTTCATGTCTTTTATAACACAACTGGGATAACAGCAGCACCTCACACCAGACAAGGATTTGTTTTTCTTTCCCATGATCCATTAGCACCCAACTCCAAGAAGAGAGATTTCACATGCCAGCATGAATAAATGAAAGAGCAACAGAATCTACAAACACTGCACTCAGCCAGGAACCTTACAAGCAGCAGAAAAACACTCCTACAGCTTATTCACAGAAGGAGAACTTGCAAAGTAACCCCCAATTCCTATTTGCTTTCCAGAAATTGGAAGAAGTTAACAAAAAGCACCTTAAATTTTTGTGGTATTCAGAAAAAAAAAACAAAGAGAGGGAAGTGAAAATCAAGGACCTGAGATGCTCCAAGGCAAGAACAAAAGGGGATCAAGTAATAAAGAAAGTGCAAGAGGAGCTGGAAGTATCTTACCACTTAAAAAAAGCACAGGCTGTGGAAATAACAGCTGAATGTCTTCCTCTTATCCTCAGGAGGAACTGATTT